TGGACTCCCATGTAGTCCACCGCGGTTTGAGTCCTGGACCTGGTTGCTTGAACTCACACCGGCGCATGCACATACATGCCCAAGATCCTGAGAGAATGGAGGAGAAGGGATTGTGGCGTGACCATCCCCTGTGGGGGATGATTTCTCTCTCTCTGTCTCTGTCTCTCTCTGTCTTTCTGGCAAGCACACATGCCCTATAGCAAAAATCTCTCCAAAAAAATAATAGAAGAGAGATTTTTGCTATAGGGCATGTGTGCTCACTGGAGAGATAGACAGAAAGTGAGGAATCACCCCCCACCCCCCAGGGGATGGCCACTGTGCATTCCCCTCTCCTCTATTGTTCTCTTGGGATTTTGGACATGTACGCTCATGTGCCCTGAGTGAAGGGCAGGTCCGGTATTCAAACTGCAGTCAACTGCATGGGAGTCCAGCTATGTAACCATTACATCATCTGCTGGTCCTGACACTAATTTTAATTCCACTTTTTCTTGAAATGTTTTCATTTCCCCTCGTACATTGATTTAAGTAAGCACCTGAATCTCTTTGGGCCTCCATTTTTCTAACAAGGATAAGATTTGAATTAAATGATGGCTAAAATCCCTTTCCAAATTTAAATGTGGATCTAGCAAATATGTGCTGTTGCAGATGCATCTTAGCCTTTCAGCCTATTATCAGTCAGTAGTTTCTTCAACTCAGCAGCAGCTGGAGCCAACTTTACTTGTGGGCCGTGGAGACCGGGCATTCAGTGTGTACCGAGCCCAAAACACTCACAAGACAGCACTCATAACCCGTCTGCTGTGGAGCTCTGACTGCCCTGAGCCCTCAACTGCATCTCCTATGACGCCTACAGTACTGTGAAGTTTCTCTGCTTTTCAGACGAGGCTCAGGCACTTACCTAAGGTGCCACCATTGGTTTGAAAAAAACCAGGATTCAGAGTCAAGTCTGTCTGATTCCAAGTCAGTGTTCCTCTGTCATACCCAGCTACCGTTTATTTAGGTAAATTCATGACCTGCTCCTCTTTGGGCATACTTTATGAATCCAGTTAGGTTTTTAATTTGTTTGTCCAGAAATTAATTTTATTTGCTTATTCTTACAGCAAAATACATCTGTTGATGATTTCTGATGGCTTTCCAAATCATACTTTGTAGTAGGTAGGATGGCTTTTTCAAATAGTCCTTTGCAGTGTTAAGAGTAAGCAAGTATTCCCAAAAAAATGAGAATAGAGCTGAAAAAAAATTTAAAAATATTTATTAAATTTTATTTATTCATTTATTTATTTTAATTTGATCAGAGAGAGACATAGAAAGAGGGAAAGTGAGAAAGCAAGCCATCAGGTCTGGGATTTGAACTGTCGTTGGCCATGTGGGAGTGTCCAGCGCCTTAAACACCATGCCACCCGCTGGTCCCAAAAAATAAATTTTTAAATTAATTTTATTAAAAATTGTACTTTGGGGGACCAACAGTTAGCGTAATGGCTATGTCACTGGACTCCCACATAGTCAACTGGAAAGGGATTTTAGCCATCATTTAATTCAAATCCTGGACCTGGAGGCTTAAACTCACGCCAGGCGTGTGTACCCAAGATCCCAAGAGGAGAATGGAGGAGAAGGGATTGTGGCATGGCCATCCCCCCTGGGGGGTGACTTCTCACTTTCTGTTTCTCTGTCTCTGTCTTCCTGGCGGGCACACGTACCCTATAGCAAAAACTTCTCCAAAAAAAAAGAATAATTGTACTTTTTGGGTGCCGGCAAGTAGCATGTTGGTTAAGGCTCTGGACACCCACCTGGCCAACTACAGTTCTAGTCCCAGACCTGGCAGCTTACTTTCTCATTTTTTGTCTCTCTTTGTCTCTCTCTGATCAAATTAAGAGATAATAATAAATTTTTAAAAGAAAAATTTTAAATAGAGGACCACCAGATGGTATAATGGTTATATATCTGAACTGCCATCTAGTTGACCATGGTTTGAATCCCAGACCCAACAGTTTAAAACACACCAGACGTGTGCATGCGTGCCCCAAATTCCGAGAGAACAGAGGAAAATGTAGTGTAGCATGGCCATCCCCCCCCAAGGGGTAACTTCTCTCTTTCTGTCTCTCTGGTGAGCACACATGTACTATACCAAAAATCTCCATTAAAAAAATAATGATAATAAATAAATAAAGTTGTACTTTTTTTTTAACCAGCCAGTGGCATGATGGCTAAGGCACTGATTCCCACATGACTAACCACTGTTCAAGTCCCAGACGCGGCAGCTTGATAAATCACAACAGATAAATAAATAAACTTCTTTTTTCCCTCAGCCTGGCACAGTGTACATGTGTGTAGTCCCAGCTGTTTGAGAGGCTGAGATGGGAAGATTATGACATGGCAAGACCTAACCTTTTTTTTTTTTTTTTTTTTTATAGCCTAACCTTTTTTTTTTTTTTTTTTTTAGATTTATTTATTTACTTTATTATTTTTAATTTGATCAGATAGAGACAGAGAAAGAAAGAGAGGGAAAGTGAGAAAGTAAGCCACCAGGTTCAGGACTAGAACCATGATCCAAAATGTGGGAGTTCAGCACCTTAACCACCACACCGCCTGCTGGCCCCAGCAAGACCTGTTTTAAAACAAAACGCAACAAGAAAATCTACACATGCTAGACACAAATTCTACTTTTTCTAAATCCTTGACTTTTATTTTTAAATAGAGTAGAAAATACAGAATGGTATATATACCAACTTAATTTCTTTATGCTTCCTAGGCCATTAAATCTATACTAACTTTTTTTTTCTTTTTTTTTGAGAGGTTTTTGTCATAGGGCGCGTGCGCTCGCCAGACAGAAAGACAGAAAGCAAGAAATCACCCCCCGCCCCCCCAGGGCGGATGGCCACGCCACAATCCCTTCTTCCCCATTCTCCTCTCAGGATCTTGGGCACGCATGCACACGCACCCGGCGTGAGTCCGGGACTCGAACTGCAGTTGACTACATAGGAGTCCAGCAACATAGCCATTACGCTAACTGCTGGTCCCTAAATCTATACTAACTTTGGGACCAGCAGGTGGTATGGTGGTTAAGGGCACTGGACTCCCACATGGCCAACCTCAGTTTGAGTCCTGGATCTGGTGGCTTGCTTTCTCACTTTCTCTC